ACATCAAACCAGCTCTGCTTGATAGATGTGGAAAGAGAGGGAAGAGAGGCTATGGCACTGTTTATTCCTTTCTACTCACCTCGGTCTGGCATCTTGTAGAGGCTATGGATCATATTGGGTCTGATCTTGTCCTCATTGAAAAATGACAATGATATTTTGTGTGAGAGTTGGATTGCCTAGGGGGAAAATGTCAGTATTCAGATTCTCACCACACACCCAAACATAACATGCTCTCAGATTACATTGCTGTTCACTTTAACAGCTATGATATGAGTGGCAACAATAAGATTGTAGCCTTCATTAGGTTCAGGAGTTAAGAAACTGTCCTGAATGATAACATTTTACAACTACTACTTCAGGGTATTTATACGCAGATTCAGACAGTGCTGCAATGTATGGAAAGTACCTGTTTAGGGGTTTCCAGCTTATAAGAAATTTTGTGGCTGTAATAGCATTCAATTAAAGCCGACATTTTTTTCTAGTATTAGGCCTTTTTTCATACGTACTTTCTCTGGTAATTTAATAAAACGTTCCTTACATCCTCGTGTTTAAATTATATTCCCATACAATCTGCATCCATCAGAGTTGATTAGAGTGCAACAGTGCATGCTGTAACTTCCAAAGAGCTGGCGTCTCACACCCTCATTAGCAGAAGTGTATCTAGAAGTTATAAGTGCCTTTCTAAAGATACGTACAACACATCTCCCTGAGACTTATTCACTTCCTGCTTTTCTCCAAAAGCAGCTGAAAGAGGCACTCTGCACCTGCTTTCTCCTTGTGCTGACATCTGTTTCTAAATGAGAAAGGAGGCAATGAATGTTAAGCTGAAGGGACTTATTTTATTTATGGTTGCAAAGATTCTTGGCTTGAAAAATCAGTTCAATTCCAGTGCCTTTCACCTTCCATGCTAAGCAGGGAGACAAAGAGAGCATTCATAGACACAACGCATGAGACACGGGGCAGTCTAATGGCATTAGAACAGTTCAGCGAAGCATTAATGAATTTACAGTGATGACAGCACAACAGTGCTAGGATCTAATCTGCTCTGTGGTAAGTGATTTTCATAAGTAACCTCAAACACAAATAACCAGTCACAACTCTAACTAAAATCTTTTGTTTTCTGACAAAACATAATCAACTATTTATCTTTTGAAACCAGTAGCCATTCCCTTGCTTGCTGTGTCGTTGGTGTTCCTCCAAACCATGTCATATCTCAGACTGTTCTCACCAAGCTCAGATGAGACTTCAGCTATTCCGAGCTTCTGATATTTCAAATACATTTTTGCCAATAATCTATCTCCTGTGCTTCATGCCGCTAGCCTCAGCAGCTGCTTGGAACTGAGATCCAGAAAAAAGCCTTGCACAGAAAAATAGGTGGTATGATCTTGTCCATAATGCCATACCTTTAATCCAACTTTATATTCACATCCTTTTCTTCACTATCATACCTCCTTGCTGTCACCTATCTGTGCCTACTCATGTATTTGGGTGAGGTGGACATATAAGGCGTTAAATCAGATATCGGCAAGGTTCTTGAGATGAGGAAAGATGTGAGTGCTGGCTGTTTACACAAGACCTTATCCTGCCTCACTGACATCAAAAAGATTATTGCCATTGACTTAAATGAGCATGGTGACGGAGTCAGCAACCTCTGCTAGACTGCCTGTTTCCAGAATCCTAGAGAGGAAGGTGTTGGGCTTGAGGAGATAAATATGTGTGGGAGGTTCTCTTCACGTTCTGCCAAGAATGGTGGTCACACATTAGTATCCACAAATTTATTCACAGGATTAGTAATTTCATTGTAGGCATTCCCTCGTAAGGAGAATTGAGTTCTGTACTTGAAGAGAAGCAAAGTAAAAGTACTTCCAGTATTTCTTAAATGTCTGTGTTCTTAAATATATCCCATGACATTTCTCTGAAGAAATAGGTGTTCTTCCAAATGCTATAAAGATACATATTCTAAATCACATTCTCCCTTCCCAGGAAAATGTGAAATGAAACTATACTGGAAACAGGCAAGGAGAACAAAGAGGAGGAAAAGTGACCATCGCTGTAAGTTTTTGGGGATCTGCCAAATCTCACTGAAGATGGATTTCGGTCACTTAGATGAAGGCAGGCTGGAGTGGGGAAAGGTGACAGTAAGAAGTGGAGATACACTGCAGTCTGTGGTGTTCCTACAGCATGGGTAAATACAATGAAGCTTGCCTTACTTTAGTTTACTCCAGCACTAATACCAGTGAAACCAAGCAGTGTTTGGTGCATACCAGTGCACCAAGGGGTGCAGTGCAGACCAGCTAATTGCATAAATACCCAAAGGCCTGGGAAGACTGGTATAGCACAGCAAAAGACTTTGTGATCAGTACCCAAGTCAGCAAGTCCAAAGGTAACTTTCATAGCAGCTAGTTTATTAGTACACCAGTAAGAACTCTAACTGTGCTCCAGATGCACTGTAGCAGTTTTCTTACTCAAAGAAAATGTGGCTCTAAGGACATTGTCATGAGAGAGGAACCACAGAAGCAAGGCAGAACAGAAGTGCGTCCACAGAGTTTTATTTACTCCCCAGACTGCTTGTCAATTGATTTCAGTGGGACTTCTCATGTCAGCAGGGATTGCTGGGAGAGGAAGACAAATCTGTCCTTCTTCTATCAGAAATGCTTTGAGAATCAGATTTACAAAAAAAGATTATATAGGATTGATTGCCTTCATTATCCTCATTTTAGTAATATTATTAGCTATAAATCACAGGACAGTTTCATATGGAATTACATTCTTATTAATATCACAACATCCTCATCCCCCCACCAGTTATCATGTTCATTCATCATAAGCTGGAAATCCCAATAAAATTATCTAACTGGAGACTAATAGCATGGCTGAATATTTCCCGCTTCCATATGTTCTGTTAGCTTCTTTTTATCTTTCTTTGTTTTTTAATTTTTTTGTTGTCAAATTGTATTGCAGAGCACAGAATGCTTTTCTGGTCCTTACCATGTCTCATACATTAAAAATGCATTAGAGAAGATATCAACTACCTTGATTTGCTTTAAAATGTTGTCTTTCCCTCATAGCCACTGAAAATAAGACTCATGAATGCATTAATCCTAAACAGAGTAAGTGGTGATTCCTCATTTATTAAAAATGCAGGCCCAAACTTACTATTAAAAGGATGATGTAAAAAAAAAAGTATAGTTTTCTCCATCTGCTTGCTGTTCAAAATAATTCATTGATGATAATAATCATAACAATAATAGGAAGCTGAAGAAAAAATAAAATTACCTTGTCTAATTCAAACCTGGGAAGAAAATTAGTTTTCCTGAACAACCAAAAACTGCTTTCAGAAGCGGTTTTATCTCTGTGGAATTGGTGCAAAAGTCATGCTGTTACATATTCCTTCTGTTCAGTACCTAAAAGGCTGGGGGAGATATTTTTTCACACATATTCCCAGCCCTGCTCTATTCCCTTTGTGCTTTGTGGGATCAGCACAAAAGGTCTAGAAAATAGGCTGGAAAAATCAGCTGCGGGTTCTCCTTGAGAGAAAGGCTCCCCAGCTGCCGCAGTGCCAGCACAGCCAGCTGTCCCCCACCAGCAGCTCGCTCCTCCTCTCCAGCACACTGGACAGACCAAGGTCATGATGCTCGCTGTGCTCCTTACCTGGGGGTGGGACAGCCCAGCCCCTAAGGACTGCAGCTGATGAGGAGCAGCAAAGTATCAACCATCTTCCCCAGAATCAGGTGCCAAATGATCCCTGCTGTCTCTCTGTTTGGATGTCAGGATCCTGTGTGCAGCTACACCCCACAGGTTTTTACGGGAATTCTTTCTAATAGAACTTATTAACAGGAGCAAAGCATGATTGTATCCATGCCTGTAACATGGGGCTTCCTACAGAGAAGGAAGCTTTTAATTATATAATTCTTTAAATTATATAAGCAATGATTTCACAGAATGGCTGAGGTTGGAAAGCACCTCTAGAGATCATCTAGTCCAAACGCCCTGCTCAAAGCAAGGTCTTTAGCTGACCTTGCTCAAGATTGCTCAAGGCCATGTCCCGTTGGGTTTTGAGTATCTCCAAGCATGGAGACTCCACCACCTCTCTGGGCAACACGTGCCAGTGTTTAACCACCTCCAGAGTAAAAAAGGCTTTTTATTAATGTTTAAGTGGAATTTCCTGTATTTCAATTGCCCTATTGCCTCTTGTCCTGTCACAGGGCACCACTGAAAAGAGCCTGGTTCCATCCTCTCTACTCTCCTCTATCTGGTATTTATTCACATTGATGAGATCCTCCTGAGCCTTCTCTTCTGGCTGAACAGTCCCAGCTCTCAGCCTTTCCTCATAGGAGGGATGCTCTAGTCTCTTAATCATCTTCATGTCCCTATGCTGAACTCTCTCCAGTATGTCTATGTCTCTCTTGTACTGGGGAGCCCAGAACTGGACAAAGCACTCCAGGTGTGGCCTCACTAGTGCTGAGTAGAGGAACAGGATCATCTCCCTCAACCTGCTGGCAACACTCCTCCTAATGCAGTCCAGGAGGCTGTTGGCCTTCTTCATTGCATGGGTGCATTTCTGGCTCATTTTCAACTTGGTGTCCACCAGGACCCTCAGGTCCTTTTTGTTAAAGATGCTCTCCAGCTGGTTGACCCCACCACTTGGTATCTGGGGTTGTTCCTCTCCAGGGGCAGGACTTGGCATTTCCCTTTGTTGAACTTCCTGAGGTTCCTGTCAGCCCATTTCTCCAGCCTGTCAAGGTCCCTCTGGATGGCAGCACAAACATCTGGTGAAGCAGCCACTCCTCCCAGTTTTGTATCATCTGCAAACCTACTAAGGGTGCACTCCGTCCCACCGTCTAGGTAACTTAAGAAGATGTTAAACAGTGTTGGTCCCAGTATCCACCCCCAGTGTACAACTCTGGTGATTCGCCTCCACATTGACTTTGTGTGGCTGATCACAATCCTTTCAGCCCAGCAGTTCAGCCAATTTTCAGTCCAGCTCGCTGTCCTCTTACCTAGTCTGTACTTCGTCAGTTTGCCGGTGAAGACGTTATGGCAGACAGTGTCAAAAACCTTGTTTAACTCAAGATAAACAGCATCCACTGCTCTCCCCTCATGCGCCAGACTAGTCATTTTGTCGTAGAAGGCTACCAGGTTGGTCAAGAATGATTTCCCCTTCCTAGACCCATGCTGACTACTCCTAGTCACCTCTTGTACTTCATGTGTTTACAAATGGCATCCAGGATTATTTGCTCCATCTCCTCCCCAAGGACTGAGGTAAGACTGACTGGCCTGTAGTCCCTTCTTGAAGAAAGGAAGACTTTCTTCCAGTCCTTAGGAAACTTCCCTGATTGCCATGACCTTTCAAAGATTATCGAGAGTGGCCTTGCAGTGACATCGGCCAGCTCCCTCAGCACTTGTAGTTGCATCCCATCAGGTCCCATGGACTTGTGTGTGTCCAAGTTGTTTAAGTGTTCCCTAACCTGATCCTCCTCCAACAATGGTAATTCTTCCTTGTTCCAGATGTTCCTGTGGGTCTCAGGGGCCTGGGATTCCTGAAGTTCAGTCTTACCAGTAAAGACCAATAAGAAAAGGGCATTGAGTACATTGGCCTTTTCTGTGTCCTCTGTCACCAGGTCCCCTGACTCATTCAGCAGTGGGCACACATTTTCCCTAGTCTCCCTTTTGCTGCCGATGTACCCATAGAAACCTCTTTTGTTGCCCTTCACATCACTCACCAGATTCAACTCCAGGCAGGCTTTAATTTTCCTAATTGGATCCCTGCATCCTTGGGCAGTGTCTCTATATTTCTCCTATATCACCTAACCCTACTTCCACCTCTTGAATGTTTCTTTTTCTATCTTTGAGTTTTGTCAAGAGCTTCTTGTTCATCCATGCAGGCCTCCTGCCACCTTTGCTTGACTTCTGGCATGTGGGGATGGACCACTCTTGAGTGTGGAGGAGGTGATCCTTGAAAATCAGCCAGCTCTCCTGGTCTCTTCCTCTCTTCTTCAAGATGGTGTCACATGGGATTCTTCCAAGCAGGTCCCTGAACAGGCCAATGTTTGCTTTCCTGATATCCAGGGTTATTAACCTGCTCTTTGCCTTCTCTCAGGATCCTGAGCTCCACCATCCCATGGTCAAGGTGGCCAGGGTTGCCCCTGATCTTCACATTTCCAACCAGTTCTTTGTTTGTAAAAATCAGGTCCTGCAGAGCGTCTCCCCTCTTCATCTCCTCAACCACCTGTGTCAGGAAATTGTCATCAGTGCACTCCAGAAAACTCCTGGATTGCTTTTGCCCTGCTGTGTTGCCCCTCCAAAAGATATCAGGGTTATTAAAGGCTCGTGTGAGGACGTGGGCCAGTGAACATGAAATTTCTTCCAGTTGTCTGAAGGAGGCCTGATCTGCTTATTCTACCTGATCAGGCAGTCTGTAGCAGACACCCACACCAATGTCAGTCACGCTGGTCTGCCGGCCAGCCTAGACCCATAAGCTCTCAGCTGGCTCATGGCAGAGCTCCATGCATCCCCGCTTCTCTCTCAAATACAGGGCAACTGTCCCTCCTCACCATCCCATCCCGTCCTTCCCAAAGAGACTGTATCCAGCCATTGCAGCACTCCAGTTGTGTGGGTGGGATTTGTCTATTAATCAGAGATTTCTAAAAATGTAGGCTCCATCTACTGAAGAATTGAAAGATGAGTGTTTTCCTTTTTTAATTTCTTTTCTAAACAATTGGCAACAAACAGAAAGTCCATTACTCAGTACCATTGCGAAGTACATGTGTTATGGTCAAATACGTCCTATGCTGCTGTTAGTTTTGTGACAAAGAAATGTTTCTATCAAATGGTTCTTATCAACAAAATTAAATAGAAATGATAAATGGCTTGCTAATATTTTTCTGTGAGCCAGTTTTTAAATGGGTCACTTTGTTCTTCTCTTTACTAGCAACCTAAAATAGAAGTTATTATATCAACAGTGGTTTGCACATAATAGAATGTTATCTGAAATTGAGTTTGGTAATGTTTTTCCTTGAAAATTAAGGCTATAGTAGTATAGTTATTGAAAATTATCATAGTTCACTTTTTATTTTTCTATTTAAAAGCAATATTCTTGAAAGTAAAAATTGCAGTTGGAGTTCTGACTAGAGAAAATGATCTCTTGGTACAGGCAATAAGGAAAATGAATGTTCATGTTGAAAGCATTGTATTATTGAGGCTTTTTTTCCCTTCATGGGCCAAATTTTCTGCCAGAATATTTGATGCATTTCCACAGACTTCAGTGGGACTGCACCAATTTATGTTAAAGAGAATACAGGACTTTTTTGTTAAAATTGAACTAAGTTATAAAAATAAGATAGAATTTAAGTAAAGCATTGACAGCATTTTCTTTCACAAATCTTGGTTTTGAGAAGCTATTTACAAAAATCAGACTGTGGTCCATTTCTCCCTGGAGTATCTTGCAGATGTGCAGCTGCAGCTCTTCAACACCAAGGAAAATATGAGCTACCCACGAACACCAGCAAAAAGCCAGGCACATGCAGCCCACCCAAGGCACGCAGGGCCATCCAAGAGTCGCCAGCACCTCCAAGGGAGGGGTTTTTTACACGCGCTGTGAAACACTCTGGGAAAATGGGAATTCAGATGTGCGCGGGGTGCAAGTTGCTCGGCCCAGCTCAGATTTGTGCATTACTGCAGTGCTGGTGAGGATTGTGTTCAGGCAATGCCACATGCGGCTGTAGAGAATTCCTTCTCAGAGAACAGATTTCCCCACTATCATGTAAGCAGCTTCTGCTCCCACTCAGCTCTCAGTTCAGGATTAAAGGGCATCTCAGGGCTCCACTTCAGTGGCTTAAGTTAAAGTAGGGCTAGAATGGTCAAAATCATTTGCAACCCTTAAAAACATAATAAGGGAAAATAAAGAGGTCTTTCCACCACCTGCTGAGGAGAAGGGAAGCGCAGGAGAGAACAGACTCGAGTAGAAGGTCCTGACTACACCAGGCACCGTGCGTTAGACACTGGGGATTTCTTCAGAGAGGTGAACTTCACTTGCACTGAGATCAGTGAAAACCTGCGCATTCAATCTGTTTCTCATAAAAAAAACCCCTCTTGAGTCTCTCCAGTGTGCAAGTCAGAACTGTCTGAAAGTCACAGGGAAATGAAGGGCTGAAAGGCTAAGAATTTCATGCTTCTTTTTCTTTTTATATACTCTTTATCCCCGCAGATCCTATGGGAAGCATAGGACTACAGCACAGGGACAGCCAGAAAGATTCAGGGCTGTTAAATTAGTAGCTTGTTTAAATCCCAAGGTAAACTAGTTGTGCTAAATTAATCTATGAACCCTCACGTTAGATCTAGAGCCTCTGAGCAGTACAGATATTTTGAGATGATCTAATTGTGGCTGGAGAGAAGGGAGAATATGGGCACGAGTAATGCTACACTGTGTGCCGCAGTGGGGTTAGCACACAGCGCAGTGCAAAAAGCTGACACGGGCAACACAGCCAGAACACCAGGGATCAAAGATGTCTAGGCATTTCTGAAAATCAGTTGCTGGAATAATGGTGGGATAGCAGGTTTGAAATGCTTGCTAGGAAACTGAGGAAGATGTGCAAAGCAAAAGTAGGAGTTTCTGGAGGTGGTGGAGGGATTGGAAAGAGCAGGGAAGGCTACTGCTGCCAATTAATAGATTAATATATGGGATCTGTCTCTCATGGGAGTTTTTCCAGCTCTTAAGCAGGAATCAGAGGCCCCCCAGCTAGCTTTGTTTTCTAAACTCAGGCAGGACCAGTTAACTGGAGTGAATTAGAGGATGCAGGGACTACCATCTTTAACATCGTATTGGGAAGCAGGGGACAGGTCTTGACAAATCACAGGTGAAGGCTGCTCCGTGGAGCCAAGCGAGAGCAGTGTTCGGGGTAACCCAAGGCTCCGTCTGGCAGACGCTGTGGGGTAGAAGCACTACATCCATCCCCACTCCACACCTAGCCTAACGTCAGCACTGTGAAAGCACATGCAAATTGTCATAGTATTGTCAATTTAATCGCTACAACCTAACAAGAAGGGAATAGAGAAGACTTCCAATGTCCTGCTGGTAAATGTGGAATTTGTAGCATATTGGTATATCCACCTTTGTTGGGTGGATGACATTTATGCACTGAAATGGACTTTTTTATAAAATTCTTGAGATGACACTTTTGTTTTTACCCCTCTGCATGGATGGTGGAAAATATTTTTTAAACATTATGCTGCAGACAGAAAATAAAATAAATAAGCATTTTGCAGTTTGTGACTCCTTCAAGATGTGATTGATCGTTGTCCCATTGCTGCGGGTCAACCTCTGCCATAGAAAACTCCAGATAATCTTCAGCTGCATTTCCTAAACCATTAATAGGATGGACAAGGCTAAGATAACAATGCACGATTTATTTCCCAAAAGCAGCTGACAGGAGGAAATGGAAACCAAATGAATTAACTCATTAGAACAGTCCGGCACATTTGGAAATTCAAAACAGACTGCCTGGAATGATTTAAATCTAGCACGAGGTTAATGTCAGTCCCTTGCTTAGGCGTGTCAGTGTTGTAATCTAGTGCTCCAGTTTTAGAAGGGTTGATGGGTGCACACCCTGGGGCTTGCATGTCAGGGTGAGCCCGGACTTAATTAATTACATGACTAGAATACCACCTATCATGGCCACACACAGGTTGTGCAAGGGCTACATTCACATGTATGGACACACACACAACACACAGACATAACAACATTTTCTAATATAAAGAAAAATTTCTATTATTTGCTTGGTGAGAGGCATTATTAAAATAGTAGGTATACATTCACATGTATGGACACACACACAACACACAGACATAACAACATTTTCTAATATAAAGAAAAATTTCTATTATTTGCTTGTTGAGAGGCATTATTAAAAATAGTAGGTATCTTATAGGCTGTAAATACATTCTGTCTTTAAGAAGCTGCATCTATATCCAGGGCAAAAACTTGGTAATCATCTCAAGGGAGCAAGGTTTTTCTCATGCCTGATTTATAACCAACAGAGAATTTCTCAGAAATTGGGTTCCACATGTGTAGCACAAAGATTACTTTGCAAAGAGACAACTGGCAGCCAAAGCAGTTC